GTCGACGGCGGGAGCACCACCTCGGCGAAGGCGGGCAGCGACTGGCGGGAGCACTACCTCGGGGCAGCGACGGGCGGGAGCACTACCTCGGCGCGGCCCTCACTTCGACCACTTCACTGGGCAGCGGCGGGAGCAGCGTGATTCTTCGAATTCAAAGCAGGCGCGACGGAAAAAATTTGCGTGGGGGGGCGGGGAGGCTCCCAAGGCCCAGAAAAGTCGAAACAGGCCTCCCCCCCCCCGCGCAAAAATGCGCTGGGCCCGCCCGGCATCGAACCGGGGGACCCAACCGGCCGGGCCGCCCGGGACCCCTGCCGGACGGAGGCTGGGCCGCCGGGCGGCCCGGAATTTAACACAGTTCCTTTTCTTTTTTTGTAAAAGACGACGGCCTTGAGATATCGTCTTTGAGCTGACAGGCCCCAGGTTCATTCAAAGTTACTTGCGCTTGTCTGATTCCATTGGAGTTTGAACTCAGGTCTGTGTTTCAACAGTCCAGGGGTGTACCAACTGCTCTCGGGCAGATGGTGTACTAATCAGATTTATCTTCCCTCCTTCCGCTGTTCACGTAAGTTTATCTGAAGTGTGGGCCTTGCTCCACTACACAACACTTTACATGCATTTGGAATTTTGGACGCTTTCTGGACCAGGTGCATTGGACGAGTCCATTTCAATGCTTTCTGGACCAGACACATTCCGATGAGTCCAACATTTTGAATGTATACTACCAATTGCTCTAGGGCAGTTGGTGTACTACTAAGATTTTTTTCCCTCCTTCCCCTGTTCACATAGGGCCCCGTTCCACTACTCGCCATCTGCCGCAAACAGTGGCGAGACTTGGCGAGGCCGAAAAGTGCATTTTCCTGGCGGAAAAAGGCTCTTGGTTCCATTACATGGCCGCCGCCACGTGCGCTGTGGTTGCTGTCCCGGCCTGCTCCCCAGACTGTGGCGGATGGCGGGCTAATGGAATGGTGGTGTCCTTCTCTTCACCATGTACTCGGACTGGAAGTCACTCCACGTGCAGCGAAAACTCGCCAACACTACGAGACAACGCAGGTCGACTGTCAGGACCGCGGTGTCAGGGGCATTCGCCACACGAAGCATTTTGCGGAGGGGTGAGGAGTAGCGCCTCCACGAAGGGTCGCCAAGTGATTTCAGACCCAAATTCCGACAGTTTCCGTTTCGTGGCTATTGGGGATGCAGTGGAACGAAGTCGCATGACGATTAGTGGAACGAGGCCCATAGTTTATCTGAAGTGTGGGCCTTTCTCCACTACACAACACTTTGCATGCATTTGGACGCTTTCTGGACCAGGTGCATTCGGATGAGTCCAACATTTTGAATGTATGCGGTCTGGACAGCGTCCAAATACATGTAGAGTGGTGTGTAGTGGAGTGAGGCCCTTTATCTGCTATATGATGAGTAATTGCCAGCCCATAGTGTCCCCATACACTTGTCTGTTTGTGTTTGTGAGATCGACACGATCGATTTGGCTGATGCTATTACATTTACGTCTGTTAGCTGCTTTTTTTGTCACGCAGAATCGTTTAGGGGGCTACGCATCCTGTGGTGCCTTGCTCGACAACCCTTCTGCGGCGAGTTTCTTCTTCTTTTTTTTCTTTTTTTTTTCAGGCTTTCTTTTTCGACTGACAGTTGTTGTCTGTTTCCCTTCTTCTAGGCGTGGGTAGTGCGTACCCTATCTGTGTCTGATGGACGATATCAGCCCTAAATCACCACTACTTCTCCCAGACAAACTTTTGCGACAAAGTTGACCCCGACCAGGGCATTCTTCGGGCGAACAGTGCTACTGGACTGGAACGGCTGGTGGCACGAGCTAAATGTGAGGATTGAGCCCTCAAGAAGGGCCTTGCCATGATGTACATGTTCTGGGCTAAGGCCCCAGCAAGCCTCGTGCCCGCCCTAAGTGAAGGCGGGCCAGCAAATCAACAAGAGCCCTCTGTGCAAACATTTCACGAAGTGGGGTCCATACAGTTGCAGCACGCCAGTTGGTTGGAGTGCACCGAGTACCGGAGCTCTGCAAATGCAGAAATCCCAGGGCCCCAGAGTTGGTTAGGCCCTGGGCACATAAACGTGAGGCCGACAATGCACGCTGGATATAGAGKCCGAAAATGCCAATGGGAAACCGGTCCACTATCTTTATCTGGCCGCAGGCCTTGATGAAAGAGGYGCAACTGCATCTCCTGGGCCCCAACCGCATTGGGCCTGGGTACAGGTACTGGGGCCCAGGCRCAGGCTCAAGGGAGGCCGCCCACACGCAACACTGGCATATAGGCAGGGAGGGCGAGTGGGCAGGGATCTTGGCCAATGCAGGCATTGCGGGCACGCTGCTGCATTGTAGCGCTGCACGTGCGCTGTGGCTGAGGGAGACAGGCTAGCGCTAAGCGGTAGGGCGCTGCCGCGCTGCCTGGGCGCAGGGCGCTGGCGGCCATAGCCGGGCTGCCTGAAGGGCGCAGAGAAGGTGAAGGGCGAAGGTGGTTCTTCGGAGGTGAAGGGCGCTGTGTGGGATAACAAGGGAGAGTGAGGGAGAAGAGAAAGACGTACCTAGTGGAGAGGAGGTCGGCATTGGTGTTGACATCATCACTGGCTGGTCGTCAAGTTGTCTGGTTGCTTTCATGCTGTAGTTGTAGTGATAGGCTGTAGAGTAGGTAGGGCGCCTGGCGCCATTCAAGAGAGAGAGAGCTACATTGGGTAATGCTGTTGGTGTTGCCCGATTGGGCTTGGACGTTGACGCACGATTCTTCTGTATCGTTCTCAAATGGATGGTTACTCGGTTCCATTGTGCTATCTGCTCTTGCTTTGACTACTTGGACTTCAGTGTGATTTTGCAATCTGGATTTCCGTGCTTCGTCCACATTCATGTTCCTTGCATTTTGGTATCGGAGCTGGTTCGATTCGCCACTTACCTTGGTGCGCTGGCGTTATACAGACTTGGTGCGTTGATGATGCTTCTTCACAGTTGGTTCTTGTGACGTCAGGCCAACATTAGGCGCACGACCTGGGTAGAGAGGTGTGCGCCGGAAGGCTATACGGCATGGGAAGCCATGGTTACAGCGGAATGTATGATTGGTGATGAAAGCATGCTGATGTGGCATTTAGCTGAGGTGGCACTGCATTGCGTTGTGGGTGGTACCGAGGCTACGACCGGTCATCAAATGCACACTCAGCTCAATTGGTGAGAAATCTGTGGTTGGGGGCAGCCTCCAGGTACGTTGTTCCCTTACCTTGTCTACTCTCTCAATCTCTTCTTACCGCGAGGAAGTGAGTCCAACTTGAGAGTTCTCTCTTTTGGTGAGGTGTCGTGTGCGCGCTACCTTGAGAGACGACAATCTTTCCGGAAGCATCTGGAAGGAGAAAGGGCGGTGCCTCTGAAGGGCCCTGGTCGAAGCACTGGGTCACGGTCACCATGCTAACCCAATGGGAGTAGGTCACGCATGCGATGGCTGCTTGTCCATTTTGGCACTATGCTGCGCTATAGAAGTCGTGCCGGGTGTGCCAGCCCATAAGAGACGCTTACCAGACCGTCTATAAATACTTCTGGTTGGGGACTCGGAATTGATACTGGCTGTGATCGTCGTCCTGACTGCGACGTCAAATAATTCCTGAGGAGATGGGGGCTCTCCTTAAATCCCTCTTGATCAGCCAGATCAATCCGGGTAGTAAGGCTCGTTCCGTACGAGGGTAAATAAGAGTGGATGGGCTGGCTTGCTCGGCAATGACTTGGGGCACAGGGGTGGGCCGACATTACACACGAAGACACTGCTGCTCAAAGATGCTCTTCGGTATGTTGGATTGAGGGGAGGGTAGGTTCTAATTGGTGCTCAACTGTAAACACAACTATACCCACTGTTCATACATCTGCAACATAGTCTGGTTTTGTTCTTGATTAGTTGCTTGACAAACTGCTAATACCTCACAGACAGTTTAGTATTAGGACTGTAGTGAGTTCTATGCAAACTTCTGTAAGTGAACTAATCTTGACAAGACTAAACTATGTAGACTGTCTTTTGTGAATGTTGTAGGCTGCCACTTGATCGGTCAAGTAGGGGAACTGCCGGACACATTTATTTTTAGAAAATTAGGTGTCGGTCAGACACATGTTGTGGTAGGACTCCAGCAGGGAGTTGTAGTGCAGATAGTGTTTGCCTAACTGATGAGCGGGTCAGACACCGTTGAGGGTGGAGTTGACGACGTGAGACTTACATGTTCGGGATCACTTAGCGTCCCGCACGTGTTTCAGACCTTACAACCGGGAGACAAAAGACGGCTTCGTGCCGAACGCAAAGCCCGTGCTCTAGCAACAGCCCGGGAAACAGCACTAGCTGCAAGTCAGGCGTTGGCAGCAGCAAACGCAGCAGCTAGAGAGCAGGCAGCAGCAGCCAGAGAAGCAACAATGGCTAACGGCGCAGCATCTGCTGCGTCCTCGTTTGGGACCCATTTGGGAATGCCCGTTGGGCCCACGGGTACTTCCAGGGCAGTAAGTTCTAGTCAGTCCACAAGTCAAATGGCGGGCTCGCAGTTAAGCCCGTTGACCCCACGCGGTAGGGAGCTCCTAGAGCTCCAACAGGTCGAAAGGATCCGCGAGCGGTTAGAGAGGGAACTGAAGCAAGCTACCGACAGAGAAAGAGAAATTAAAAATAGAACAGCCAGGCTTGATACGTTAGAGGCAGACAAAGCTGCATTAGAGGGTCTGGATGAGTCAGCCATGTCTGACCAAATGAAAATATTGAAGAACAGTATGCTGTCGCTGCATGCGCATGTGGACAACAGACTGGATTTCATGCAGAACTCTTTGGACCAGATCTTGGACCTTTTGCAAAGGCCAGGATTCCGGCCAGCAGCACAGTCGTCGTTGCCGTTAACGGCATTTCAGGCCCCTTTCCGGTACAAGCTGGCACAAGTGGTACGTCTGGAGCAGCCGCACAGACTGTTGCTTCTTCTTCTTCTGGGTCAGCGGTGGTTGCTACACCATCACCGCAACAACCAGTTCCTCAACAGGGACAGCAGCAAGGTCAATGGTACCCAAAGACCCCTATGAAACCGCCCCTTGCCTTCTCCGGAGAGAAGAAGGATGAGGAACTCAACACATGGTTGAGAACGGTTCCAGTGTGGGTAAGGGCAAAGAGGACTTTGCAGGAGGAGGAGGTGATTACTGCTAAATCTTACCTTTAGGGTAAGGCAGCCAAATGGCTAGATGGATTAGTAGCAAAGGCCGACTACGGACGACGAATGGCAGACTGGGCTAAGACCCTTACGTTAGAACAGTTCTTGGAAATGGTAGAAGCTCGCTGGCACAATCCACAACATGCACAAATTGTCACCGATGCGATGCACAAACTAGACCAAAGAAAGTTTAAGTCAGTCAGAGAGCTAACGACTACCGTAGAGAGCCTCATCGTAGTTCCCGGCATACACTACGATGACCAGGTCTTATTGACCATGTTTGTGAGATCTCTCCCAGAGAATCTCAGGAACTTACTAGCCAGCGAGGCTCGCCTCGAGTATCACTCGTTTGAGACACTATCTAGAAAAGCCTTAGATTTAGAGGCTACTCTAGGAAGTGCTCAGCCTACTCAAGTCGACACAAGGAAGAAGAAGAGTGCACAGGAATGGAAGAAAAAGGGGAGCAAATTGATGATGGTTGAGTCCGATGGGACTCAAACTGAGATCGAAGAGCTCACAAACTTGTTGGACTACTCAGAGTACGACGACGAGGAAATCGCTGAGGGTAGCACCCTCGCCGCAGTTGTAAAGACTAAGGCCGGTGGCCGAGGGAAGGGCCATCAAAAGAGTCAAGGGCAGGCTGCCTCCAACCAGAACAAAGTTGCTGATTGGGTCAAGGCAGGTCTTGATCAAGAAGTGTGGCGGGACCGCCGAGTGCGTGGCGCTTGCATTAACTGTGGTGAATACGGACACACCCAGTATAAGTGCAAGAACGCAAAGGTCACGCATAAGATACCTCCTAAGATGGGGGCACCTTCTTCTCAGGCTTCTAGCTCGGGAAACACGTAAGGCCGGTGGAAGTTTTTGCTGCTTCTACTCAAGGTGAACTGGGCCAGATACCCTCCCCACTTCATGAGCAGGCCATAGCTAATGACTCTTTAGTCACCCTGCAGACTCATCCAGGCCAAACCATGCTCTGTACGTTAGATGTGTCTGAAGCCTTAGAAGATTTGGAAATTGAGTGGTCAAGTAAGGACCCTCGTGAATCTTGGGTGACACTAAGGAAACTTCCTAGAGGGGAATATTTCGTTGTGGAAGTTGATGTAGGAGGCCGCAAATGTGGTGCCTTCATAGACATCGGCTCCACGTGGAACTACATAAGTCGCAACTGTTTGGAAAGGCTGCACCTACAGGACCGGGTACAACGCCTTAGTAGACCCGTAGCATCTACTTTGGCCAATAAGGAGCGCATGATTGTCACAGACTATATCAAGGATGTAGTCTGCACCTTCTCCTATGGAGGAGGGGAACTTAATCACAAGATTTCGTTCCTGGTTAGTGACGACTTACCATTTGATATGCTGTTGGGGATGTACTACCTTGAGGTTGCCAAACCCCAGTTTGACTGGGACAAGAAGGTGCTAAAGCATAAGTTGCCTGATGGAAGAACAATGAGGCTGACTAAGTTCAAACCCGGTAGTATAATCCATACCTATGGCTGCTTGTGTGCATCAGCGTTCTATAACTATTATAAACAGAACCAAGAGGAGGGTATGTACCTAGTGTATGTCTCTAAGAAAGGGGCGGCCGTTAAAACACCCCCAGAGATAGAACATGTCGTTGCTAAGTTCCCTGATCTGTTCACGGAGCCTACAGGAGTCGTAGAAAGGGAGGTTGTCCACGCCATAGAAATCATTCCAGGGAGTAAAACCCCAAAGGGAAGGATCTATAGGATGGCTCCGGCCGAGTTGGATGAACTTCGGCGACAACTGAAAGAGCTGACAGAAAAGGGATGGATCCGGCCGAGTACTTCCCCCTACGGATCTTCAGTGCTATTTGTACCGAAGAAGGGGGGTACATTGAGGATGTGCATTGATTACAGGGGCCTCAATGCCATCACAGTGAAAAACGCAGAGCCTCTACCTCGCATAGACGACCTATTGGATAGGGTGCAGGGATGTAAGTACTATACCAAGATAGACTTAAAGTCCGACTACCATCAGATCGCAATAAGACCTGACGATCAACACAAGACTGCTTTTCAGACCAGATACGGTCTGTATGAGTTTGTAGTGATGCCCTTTGGCCTTTGCAATGCGCCGGGTACATTCCATCATGCCATGAATAGGATCTTCCATGACCACTTAGATAAGTTTGTCGTTGTCTACTTAGACGATATTCTTATCCTTAGTAAGTCTATCGAGGAGCATGCACAACACGTTGAGACTGTACTTTCACTCCTGCGACAGCACAAGTATAAGGTCAACTTAGAGAAATGTGAGTTTGGACGCACTAAGATCTTATACTTGGGTCATGAAGTATCCGCGGAAGGTATTAGCTTGAAAGATGCGAAGGTGGCTAGTATCAGGGACTGGCCACGACCTCAGACTGTTACTGAGGTCAGATCTTTCTTAGGAATGTGCGGCTACTATAGGAACTTCGTAAAGAACTATTCTACAGTCGCCTCTCCTTTGACTGATCTAACTCGACTTGACACGCCGTGGAACTGGAGTGATGAGTGCGAGGCTGCTTTCAAACGATTGAAGCATGCACTCATGAATCATGAGGTTCTCATGGTGCCCGATCCTCAGAAGCCATTCATAGTGACCACTGACGCAAGCCAATACGGCATTGGCGCAGTGCTGGCTCAACAGGATGGGAAAAAGTTGAGACCGATTGATTATATGAGCAAGAAAATGCCATCAAAGAAACTCGCAAAGTCGACCTATGAAAGGGAACTCTACGCTCTCTACAAAGCACTTGTTCATTGGAGGCACTTTCTGTTGGGAAGGTTCTTCTATTTGAGAACTGACCATCAGACCCTCAAATGGATCAAGACTCAACCGACTCTTTCTCAACGCTGGATTGAGGTCATAGATCAGTATGACTTCAAGCTAGAGTATCTGAAGGGAGAGTACAACAAGGTTGATGATGCGCTGTCACGAAGAGCAGACTACCTAGGGGCGCTATTTTCTGAGTTTGGTGTATCTGAAGAACTGACTCAATCGCTGGTGGGAGCCTATCAGGAAGACCCTGTCAYGATGGACATCATACGCAAACTTCAGGCAAAAGACAAGGCCACAGAARATGAGTTTGTGATGGTGGACGGGCTTCTCTTTCTTGATAAGGGCGGATTTAAAAGATTAGTTGTACCATCTAGTGAACATTTGCGTAGTTTATTCTTAGGAGAATGTCATGACACAACTAGACACTTTGGCTACAAAAAGACGAGTGCCAATCTAGTACAGCGATTTTGGTGGCCTGGAATGCTAGATGACGCAAAGAAGTATGTAGAGACCTGTCAGGTCTGTCAGCGGGACAAGCCGCGAACGCAAGCACCGCTTGGGTTGCTGAAGCCCTTACCTATCCCCGCTGCTCCAGGACAGAGCGTTTCCATGGACTTCATGGACACCCTGGTGACCAGTAGGAGTGGCAAGAGGCACATCTTTGTCATCATCGATCGATTCACCAAATACGCTAGACTAATTGCCATGCCAGAGACCGCAAGGACTGACCACGTCATCAAGTTGTTTATGGACAACTGGGTATGTGATTTTGGACTACCAAAGTCAATCGTTAGTGACAAAGATGTCTGATTCACAAGTGAGCTGTGGAAGAAGACTGCTGAGCAGATGGGCAGTCAACTTCAGATGACTTCAGGGAATCATCCTGAAGCCAACGGACAGGCCGAGCAGATGAGCAGAGTTGTACAACACCTGCTGAGGCATTACATCAAGCCCAACCAGGATGACTGGGATGAGAAGTTGCCTCTCATCGCCAGCCTGTACAACAACGCTGTACACAGCAGTACCGACATTAGTCCTAATCAGCTACACTTGGGATGAAAGCTTCCTCCTGCCTGAAAATCGACCCTCTGCAACTCCAGGCACACTTGAGTATCGTGTGCAGTATGAGAAGTTGCTACAGCAAGTTGTCGAACACATCAAGAAAGCTCAGCAAGCAATGATTGCTTCTGAGAACAAACATCGTCGGCAGTCCTCATTTCAGGTAGGGGAACGTGTCTGGGTCAAGGCTAGTGAGTTAGGACAGGAATTCGGAATCTCTCGCAAACTAATGCCTCAGTATTTTGGTCCATGGGAAGTCCTGGATATAGTTGGGGATGAGATGGATGGTCCTACCTATGTTATCCGTATCCCTGGTCACTTACGCACTCACCCTGTCTTTCATGCCTCANGTCGACGGCGGGAGCACCACCTCGGCGAAGGCGGGCAGCGACTGGCGGGAGCACTACCTCGGGGCAGCGACGGGCGGGAGCACTACCTCGGCGCGGCCCTCACTTCGACCACTTCACTGGGCAGCGGCGGGAGCAGCGTGATTCTTCGAATTCAAAGCAGGCGCGACGGAAAAAATTTGCGTGGGGGGGCGGGGAGGCTCCCAAGGCCCAGAAAAGTCGAAACAGGCCTCCCCCCCCCCGCGCAAAAATGCGCTGGGCCCGCCCGGCATCGAACCGGGGGACCCAACCGGCCGGGCCGCCCGGGACCCCTGCCGGACGGAGGCTGGGCCGCCGGGCGGCCCGGAATTTAACACAGTTCCTTTTCTTTTTTTGTAAAAGACGACGGCCTTGAGATATCGTCTTTGAGCTGACAGGCCCCAGGTTCATTCAAAGTTACTTGCGCTTGTCTGATTCCATTGGAGTTTGAACTCAGGTCTGTGTTTCAACAGTCCAGGGGTGTACCAACTGCTCTCGGGCAGATGGTGTACTAATCAGATTTATCTTCCCTCCTTCCGCTGTTCACGTAAGTTTATCTGAAGTGTGGGCCTTGCTCCACTACACAACACTTTACATGCATTTGGAATTTTGGACGCTTTCTGGACCAGGTGCATTGGACGAGTCCATTTCAATGCTTTCTGGACCAGACACATTCCGATGAGTCCAACATTTTGAATGTATACTACCAATTGCTCTAGGGCAGTTGGTGTACTACTAAGATTTTTTTCCCTCCTTCCCCTGTTCACATAGGGCCCCGTTCCACTACTCGCCATCTGCCGCAAACAGTGGCGAGACTTGGCGAGGCCGAAAAGTGCATTTTCCTGGCGGAAAAAGGCTCTTGGTTCCATTACATGGCCGCCGCCACGTGCGCTGTGGTTGCTGTCCCGGCCTGCTCCCCAGACTGTGGCGGATGGCGGGCTAATGGAATGGTGGTGTCCTTCTCTTCACCATGTACTCGGACTGGAAGTCACTCCACGTGCAGCGAAAACTCGCCAACACTACGAGACAACGCAGGTCGACTGTCAGGACCGCGGTGTCAGGGGCATTCGCCACACGAAGCATTTTGCGGAGGGGTGAGGAGTAGCGCCTCCACGAAGGGTCGCCAAGTGATTTCAGACCCAAATTCCGACAGTTTCCGTTTCGTGGCTATTGGGGATGCAGTGGAACGAAGTCGCATGACGATTAGTGGAACGAGGCCCATAGTTTATCTGAAGTGTGGGCCTTTCTCCACTACACAACACTTTGCATGCATTTGGACGCTTTCTGGACCAGGTGCATTCGGATGAGTCCAACATTTTGAATGTATGCGGTCTGGACAGCGTCCAAATACATGTAGAGTGGTGTGTAGTGGAGTGAGGCCCTTTATCTGCTATATGATGAGTAATTGCCAGCCCATAGTGTCCCCATACACTTGTCTGTTTGTGTTTGTGAGATCGACACGATCGATTTGGCTGATGCTATTACATTTACGTCTGTTAGCTGCTTTTTTTGTCACGCAGAATCGTTTAGGGGGCTACGCATCCTGTGGTGCCTTGCTCGACAACCCTTCTGCGGCGAGTTTCTTCTTCTTTTTTTTCTTTTTTTTTTCAGGCTTTCTTTTTCGACTGACAGTTGTTGTCTGTTTCCCTTCTTCTAGGCGTGGGTAGTGCGTACCCTATCTGTGTCTGATGGACGATATCAGCCCTAAATCACCACTACTTCTCCCAGACAAACTTTTGCGACAAAGTTGACCCCGACCAGGGCATTCTTCGGGCGAACAGTGCTACTGGACTGGAACGGCTGGTGGCACGAGCTAAATGTGAGGATTGAGCCCTCAAGAAGGGCCTTGCCATGATGTACATGTTCTGGGCTAAGGCCCCAGCAAGCCTCGTGCCCGCCCTAAGTGAAGGCGGGCCAGCAAATCAACAAGAGCCCTCTGTGCAAACATTTCACGAAGTGGGGTCCATACAGTTGCAGCACGCCAGTTGGTTGGAGTGCACCGAGTACCGGAGCTCTGCAAATGCAGAAATCCCAGGGCCCCAGAGTTGGTTAGGCCCTGGGCACATAAACGTGAGGCCGACAATGCACGCTGGATATAGAGKCCGAAAATGCCAATGGGAAACCGGTCCACTATCTTTATCTGGCCGCAGGCCTTGATGAAAGAGGYGCAACTGCATCTCCTGGGCCCCAACCGCATTGGGCCTGGGTACAGGTACTGGGGCCCAGGCRCAGGCTCAAGGGAGGCCGCCCACACGCAACACTGGCATATAGGCAGGGAGGGCGAGTGGGCAGGGATCTTGGCCAATGCAGGCATTGCGGGCACGCTGCTGCATTGTAGCGCTGCACGTGCGCTGTGGCTGAGGGAGACAGGCTAGCGCTAAGCGGTAGGGCGCTGCCTGGGCGCAGGGCGCTGGCGGCCATAGCCGGGCTGCCTGAAGGGCGCAGAGAAGGTGAAGGGCGAAGGTGGTTCTTCGGAGGTGAAGGGCGCTGTGTGGGATAACAAGGGAGAGTGAGGGAGAAGAGAAAGACATACCTGGTGGAGAGGAGGTCGGCATTGGTGTTGACATCATCACTGGCTGGTCGTCAAGCTGTCTGGTTGCTTTCATGCTGTAGTTGTAGTGATAGGCTGTAGAGTAGGTAGGGCGCCTGGTGCCATTCAAGAGAGAGAGCTACATTGGGTTATGCTGTTGGTGTTGCCCGATTGGGCTTGGACATTGACTCACGATTCTTCTGTATCGTTCTCAAATGGATGGTTACTCGGTTCCATTGTGCTATCTGCTCTTGCTTTGACTACTTGGACTTCAGTGTGATTTTGCAATCTGGATTTCCGTGCTTCGTCCACATTCATGTTCCTTGCATAAAAAAGGAAAGAAAAAAAAAAGAAAACGTTCCTGACCGCTGTACGGTCAGGAACAGTAGTAGCAGGAACAATGCAATGCCATGGTCTGAGATACAGGTTGACAGTCTGGGGATGACCATTGAAAGGGTTCCAAGGACTGAAGCAAACCCTCTCCCTCCACCTTAGAGCCAGCCTCCTGAATGGACACCACTGGAGGATAGGTGGGTTAGAACTTAACACATCTTGCAATGCTCCAACAGAGTTGACCATGCTGAGGAACCCGTGGAAATACATTGTGTGTCCTTCGGTCCTCACCTGGTTAGGTGAGACCATGGAGAAGCCCAGGTGTACATCACACAGAGAAACTCTGCAGGTCTGAAGGAGTTGGAAATACTCTTCGCTGATCCATTGACTGGACGCACAAGGCATATTGCATGAATGATTGCTTGCTCGTCTGCTGGCAAGTTTGCGCTGAAGAGCTGAAGTTGTTTCCCGGGTGTGTGCATCCTACAATGGATAGCTGTCAATTCCTAAGTGAATAGATTTGGATTCCTGAGTGGATAGCTATGGATGGGTTCCTAACTTCCCAAGTGGGTAGCTATTATGAATTTATGAAGTGGATTCCTAAAGGCCAAAGTGGCTGGCAATGGATTGCTGAGTGGATAACTGTGAATTTCTAATGGATAGCTATCAAGTCCTAAGTGAACAGCTATGGAGTCTTGAGTGGATAGCTATGAGTTCCTAAGTGGATAGCTATGAATTCCTAAGTGGATCCTAAAGACCAAAGTGGGTAGAGGTGGATTCCTGAGTGGATAACTATGAATTCCTTTGTGGATAACTGTCAATTCCTTAGTGAATAGCTATGGATTCCTGAGTGTATAGCTGTGAATTCTTAAGTGAATAGCGATGGATTCCAAAGTCAACAGAGATGAATTCCTGAGCAGATAGCTCTGAGTCCCTAACTGAATTTTTGCTATCTATTCCTAAGTGGATTCCTAAGGCCGGAGGTTAGAAAACAGAGAAATTTTCAGGGGTTGGGTTTTGCCCATTGGAGCATTAATTCATGAATCATTCATTATCAGCACAACTTATCACTCCTGGGTCATGCAGGGAACTTGAGCCAACACCCAGCAGGGAAATTAAGCCAACACCCAGCAGGGAACTTGAGCCAACACCCAGCAGGGAAATTAAGCCAACACCC